TATTATTATTATTATTATTATTATTATTATTATTATTATTATTATTATATTGTTTTATACTGTTTATTTTTAGCCATTCCGACCCTGTTAACATTATAGATTTAGTGTCAGTGGTAGTGGTAATAACAATAAACAAATTTTACTACTCACCTACTGCACTATTTTATAACAATAAACACATTTTACTACTCACCTACTGCACTAAATAGTACAGTAGGTGAGTAATGAAATTTGTTTATTGTTATTACCTACCACTGACACTAAATCTATAATGTTAAGAGGGTCGAAATGGCTAAAAATAAACAATATAAAACAATGTCAATATATGACCCTGAAAAAGCTCAATCAATTATGTAACAACATGAATGTATTGTCGGATTATTATTAGAATTTGTAATTAAGCTCATAATAACACCAGTGGACTAAAATGTATAACGTGTAACTTACCAGCTGCTAAAGTACTCATAATGCAAGTGAAAAAACATATTAAGTTAAAATCCATTACGAACACTATTTCCAGCGTCTCTGGCAACGACTTAATGGGTTATGAAGTAAATACATGCGGTTATCTAAAGCTTAGAGGAAATTGCTGAATTCGACATCACGAACTAAAAATCATACAAGCCTATTGCCGGATACAGAAGATCAGATTAGCATCGGCAATTGAAGAGAGCGCCACCATGTCACATCCTGTGTAGTTGGCGGCGTCACTTGAGACCGCGGTATAATGAAACCTTTCACTAAAAACCAATCGAGGTAAAAGAGAATAAGTCATGGATTAAGTATTGCAGGTGAAAGTTTAAAGACATGACTCTGGAGGTATACGTTGTACAAATGAATATTCTAACACATTAAATGGGTGTTTAAAAAAGTAATCGGGTAATACACATTTTTAAATAGGCCTATTCAAAAACTGCAAGATATACAGTAGCATAACACAATTACACAATTTCCTCACAAACACCTATTCAATGCCTCAGATATACATATTCATATACATATACATATATATGTACGTATATATATATATATATATATAAAACTTAAAAGCTGCATCGGCAAACATATATATATAAATAAAAACTTCAGGAGAGGTGTCTAGTATTGCCAAATATAATTTATTGAGTACAGGAACGTTTTCGGGCATCGCCCTTCATCAGGTATACGTACAGATAAATATGAATACGAGTATAAATAAATAGAATGCGGACGTAGTAAGCAGCATCATGGGAAAGCATTGATATACAAGCTAAACAATACCTAAAGGGCGTAGTGAAACAAGCCAACTAATCAGAGTTGAGAGGTGCTATAAAATATGGTGCCAAAAAATAAAAATATAAACCAAGATGATAACAACCGGGATTGTAATAAATGACATAAATAAGTATAAAATATAAAAATAATAAATGGGAATGATCGTATATAATGGATATAAAATAGAAGTATATATAAAAAAAAAAACGCAAATGTACATAATAAATCCACGGTCTCAGAGATAACAAGTAAAGCATAAATACAAGCATAATATCAAATAATAATTATAGTTTAAATGATTTAAAGGAAACATTAAATGTTATCAACGCTTTCCCATGATGCTGCATACTACGTCCGTATTCTATTTATTTATTCTCATATTCATATTTATCTGTACGTATACCTGATGAAGGGCGATGCCCGAAAACGTTCGTGTACTCAATAAATTATATTTGGCAATACTAGACACCTCTCCTGAAGTTTTTATTTATATATATATATATATATATATATATGTATATATATATGTATATATATAGTAAATAACGAGTCAGATGGTATCAGATATATGCCACAAAATTTATTTTCAGAGTTAGCGAGTACTTTCGACTATAAGTCTTTATCAAGCTATATATATATATATATATATATATCTGATCGATTTAGTCGATGAAGTTCCACGTATGTCTCGATTGTATAAAATAACACTGCAGTTGTTAACATAAACGCCGGACACTTTGACATAATTTGAGACATGTACATTTATTCAACGAAATTTTCGGCAGCACCTGCTGCCTTCGTCAGCGTAAGAGTGTCTGGTA